CACTGGGTCAGTCCCGGCTCTGACCACCCTTAGTGCCTGCTCCGTGGAAGCCACTGCCTCTCCTCCCTGAAGTGTTGGGTTCTCTGTCTCCACTCTGGCCTCACTGACGACCAGTCTTCATCCAGCAGTCAAGGTGTAGATAGATCAAGTTGGCCGTGCTTAGAGCTGACCACTGGCCTCCACCACGTGTGAGTCAAATGCCAAGCCCGTGCCACAGCCTGTGGCACCTGTCTGCCTGGCCCCTCGCTTGCTCCCCAGCCTCCTCTCTCCTTGCCGCAGCCTGTGGCACCTGTCTGCCCGGCCCCTTGCTTGCTCCCCAGCCTCCTGTCTCACCTCTGGGCTGCGGCTCCCGCACAGACACACAGAGCGTGTCCCAGGGCTGCATGGCTTTTTGTGGTGTTCCCCCTTACAGTAGGGAAGCTGCTTGTCAGCCGCTGTTCCAGCAAAGCCCAGAGTAGTGTTTGGGCCATCCTGGAAGCTCACTAGTTTTTGTTAATGACTAGTAAGTACACGTTGGAGGTGGGCCAAGGCTCGCTCCTGGAGGGTACTGTGCATCACCACAGCTCGGGAGTGCTGCTTGACCAAAGTGTGGAGGTGCACACCGTGGTTGGTTCTCCCTCTTTCTGGGGAAGCGACAGGCGTGAAGGGCAGCAGGCAGAGGAGCCTGGGTGCCGAGTGTGGATGAGATGGGACACTGGTGCCTGTGCCAGGGTGGGTGTTTCCTCTGTAGACGCCCCCATCCACATGAGGCCGGGATGGGGGGACCCCTGTGTGCATGCCCACTGGGAGACAGCTAGACGTCCACTGGAAGGTTTCGTGTGAGTCACGGGAGAGGAAGGCCGTGCAAATTCTGCCCTGGCCAGCAGACGTCAGCTCCTGGCACTGAGCCGGGGGAGTGGGAGGAGAGATGGGTGCCTGGGGCCTAGGCTTGCCCCACAGGTGTCCGGCACGCACCGGGAGTGTAGGAAGCGGCCTGCACACACTCCTGAGTGTTCCAGATGCCAGGAAGAGAGTGGCAGAGCAGTATGTCTGTTCACTCTGTAGTACCAGGGCCTCTGTCTGTAGCACAGGGGTTTAGGTTGCCTGGACTTAGTTGCTGGCCCAGTCATGACTTTGAACTGCAATGAGCAACTTCCTCAAAAGGATGTGCCCCACGTGCCCCTCCCTGCCCTCTGGGGGGGCTACGGATGTGCTGGAAACCCAGTCGCTCTTCAGAGTCCCGTCCCTGCCCAGCTAGCTTGGGGCAACCAAGGACTTGACCATTTCTTACACGGGTCATTGCTGGGCCTGCCCGTGCAGAGGAACAAAGCGACCTTGTTTGAGATCCAGGGTCAGTGCTCAGTGGGGTTGGGGTTGCTGTTGACGCTGCCCCTGCAGACTCGGCCGCGGGCTGGCTATGGGAAATCCCTGGCTGTATGCAGTCGTGGGCTCTGTGACACCTTGCGGATCGCCTCCCCGAAGTCGTTCTCACACTTCCCTACCACGTCAGGCCGGGTTGGACTGCCTTCTGAAGCGCTTCAGGACTTGCAAGCTGCGGCAAAAGGAGCTCACTGGCTTAGCCAGCCCCTCAGGCGCCCGGGGGCCAGGGGACAGCGGGTCATTTCTTCCTTTTTCTTTTTAAAGATTTATTTTTTATTTTTTTTTGTTGGAAAGGCGGATATACAGAGAGGAGAGACAGAGAGGAAGATCTTCCGTCCGATGATTCACTCCCCAAGTGAGCGCAACGGCCGATGCTATGCCGATCCGAAGCCAGGAGCCTCTTCCGGGTCTCCCACACGGGTGCAGGGTCCCAAAGCTTTGGGCTGTCCTCGACTGCTTTCCCAGGCCACAGGCAGGGAGCTGGATGGGAAGCGGGGCTGCTGGAATTAGAACTGGCGCCCATATGGGATCCTGGGCGTGCAAGGCGAGGACCTGAACCACTAGGCTATCATGCCAGGCCCGCCGGATCATTTCTAAACTAATGTGTTTGGAAGGCAGAGAGAGAAGAAATTGATTGATTTTCCATCTGCTGGTTCACTCCCCAAATGGCTGCAGTAGAGTTGGGCCAGGCCAAAGTCAGAAGCTGGGAGTTCCATCCAGGCCTTCAGGTGGTGAGTATCGCGGGCCCAAGCACTTGGGCTGTCTTCCACTGCTTTCCCAGGCATGGCAACAGAGAGCTGGGTCAGAGGTGGAGTAGCTACGACTTAAATGGAGCTTGTGCCCAGCGCAATAGCCTAGTGGTTAAAGTCCTCGCCTTAAACACTCCAGGATCCCATATCAGCACCAGTTCTAATCCCTGTGGCCCCGCTTCCCATCCAGTTCCCTGCCTGTGGCCTGGGAAAGCAGTCGAGGACGGCCCAAGGGCTTGGGACCCTGCACCCACGTGGGAGACCCAGAAAAAGCTCCTGGCTCTTGGGTTTGGATCGGCTAAGCTCCAGCCATTGCAGTCAGTTAGGGAGTGAACCAGCAGACGGAAGATCTTCCTCTCTGTCTCTCCTCCTCTCTGTATATCTGGCTTTCCAATAAAAATAAATAAATCTTAAAAAAAAAAAAAGACTTAAACAGAGTTCCTATGGGATGTTGATGTTGCCAGCAGCAGCCGAACTTGCAGTGCCTGGGCCTCCCTGGGCTTTTGCCTGTGTGGCTCTCAGCCCTTCTGCTTGGGCTATTCCTGCCCGCTCTTTAACTCCGCTGAGCCCAGAGTGGACGGGCTACCTGGGGCTGGCACGTCGGCGAGCCTCCGGGTCTTCTCCACGTAGGTGCTCCTGGGAGCAGCCAGGATCCCTCCGTGGTGACATTCCCTGAGCAGTCAGCGTGTGAGGCTGTCCTGCCAGAGTCCCTGCCTTTCCTGCAGCACACCTCAACAGGACGCCTCTACCAGGGCTGGGCCCAGAGAAGGGGCTCCCCGAATTTCTGGTGCAGTGCTCAGCCAGCCTGCCCTGCCCTTGTTTGCGTTCTGTGCCGGGCTGGGCCTCCGGCTTGGAGCATTCCCACAGTGCTTGGCGCTTCCTCGTATTGTTGTATTTTCTCCAGGAGGGAAGTGACCAGCGCCAGGCTTTCCTCCCAGCAGACCAATTCCATACACAAAGCTCCTTGTCAGCTCCTGCGTACTCCCCCGACCCGCCTCTGTCCGAGCGCCTGAGAGGTGACTGTGCCCTTTCCTGGCCCCCACAGGCCTTCGGTCCTGAGCCTGTTGAGCTTGTCTCAAATCTCCCTCACCAAGTGAGCCAGGCCCTCCAGCATCCCTCCTGAGCCCGCTCTGCACCGAGCAGCGAGCGCGTGGTGGGACACAGCCTATGCAAAGTTTCAAGCATTAGCAGCCACAATATTACATCTGGCTAACATTGCTCTCCACAATGAAAAAAATTGCACTTCCTACAGTGCAAGCGTTTGACTCGCGCCCAGGGGACCGGTGATCGGCGCTCTTCCTGGGTGGCCGGAGAGGTCATGCCACTTTGCCCTAGCACACAGGACCTGAAGCTGGGACGTTACAGGCAATCACAGAACACAGCAGTAGTGGCTCTTCCTTACTGAGGACTTGCCCATTTGCCAACGCTTTGCAATACATCTGATTTGATTTGACCTCTAATTGCTCTGTGAAGTGGTGGCATCATTGTGTGCATCTTATCTTTTGAAAAAATAAGATTAAGCAAGGTGAAGTTTCTCTTGCAGTTACCCTCCAGGAAGTTCCCACGCTCAGAGATTCCAACCTAGGCAGCTATGCTCCAGAGTGAGCCCCTTCCCACTCTCCTGCCTGCTTGGGTCCCAAGGAGTCGGGCTGAGGCTGGCTCCCTCACTGAACACGTAGACCTTGTAACGGGGAAGGGGCTTGTTGGAGATTACCTTGCAAGTGTCCTAGTGCCCTTGGGTCCCTCTGGAGTGTTTTGGGGTGTGTGATGGCTGTAGGACTGAGTGGCAACGCGTGGTCAGACCTGGGCAACACGTGGTCAGAGCAGAGCACACATCCCCGGGGCCTGGGGACTGCACCGCCAGCTCTGCAGCGAGCCTGCTGGGGTAGCAGCTCGCTTCTGCTTTGTCCCATCTTCCTGGGATGGGAACTAGCAAGGGTCACCTGCCGGGTTTGCATTACAAGCACATTGACCTTGAGGGATGACTCAGAAAAGACACCTTTCTGAGCTGGACGGCCATCCCACCCCCACCTCCTGTTGGGAGTCCTGACTTTAGGGGGCGTGGCACCTTCCTGAGAAGCGCTTGGACCATGGCGCCCAGCTCAGTCTGAAAGCTTATTATGCCTGTAAGTTAATGTTTGGAACTTGGGCTACATTTTCTCATGGGAACACTATTAGGGATGTGGGAGCCTTGAGCTAAGAAGTAGCAGCTCCCAGCCAGGACCAAACTGGCCTGTTGTCATGAAGCTCCCACCAGCAGGGGCCCTACAGACTAACGGGGGAAATAGAGACTGCAAGGCTGGGGGGACTCGGGGCAAGGGCGGTGGGAGGACAGCAGTGCTGTGGTCAGTTGATTTGTGAATGAGGAACTATGGGCAACCCATTCCAGAACCTGGTGACGCTGTGGGTGTGGCATGGTAGGTTCGAGAATGTGCGTGTGTGTCTGTCTACCTGTTGATCAACAGGCGGTGTTAGGCACCTGTTGTGTTCCAGGTGTTCTGCACTGGGCAGCACCTGTGAAAAACCTTTGCTAAGCTGTTTGCTAGTTGTTTAGGAAGTAAAGCTCTGTATGTAAGGGGCGCAGTATCAGCAGGTTCATGATTAGCCTTTTTGATCTGTCATGGTTTTGAAGATACATTAAACTCGCTGTCTTATGGAGAAATGAGGTCACGTCTTATCTGACATTGAAAGTGTACCTGAAGAAAATTGTTATGGTGCTAGTTGAAAAAGAGAGAAATGAAATATCTTTGGAATTTATCAAAAAGGACGGAGGGAGGGTCTTGCTGGTTTGAACTGGCTCTTTTTGCACCTGTTAGGGTTCGGAGGGCTGCTGGTGTGGGAGGGTTTTGGCCCTTGTGCTTGCCCAGTTTGTTGTTGCGGTTGGATCATTCAGTGTGGAGAGTCAGGCCGTGATTGTGAGGCTTTCCCTACTGGCAGGTCGGATGTGAGGCGCACATCTTGCAGTGGCGTGGACTTGGCTTCACTCCTCCGGCACACACAGGCCTCGTCATTCTTCGTCCTTCCCAGTGGGTAGGGCTGTCCCGCCCTGGCCCGTGCTGCCAGGGCTCTTAAACTCGGCCTGCTAAGTTCTGTCCCTCTCAGAATGTCGTCTTCAAGGCCTGCTCCATTTCCGTGCTTGGCTTTGTCCAACTCCGTAGAAAATATATGTATATCCTTACTTGAAAATTGAATTAGCGAGTTGAATTAGAGAGTTGCTGAGACCCAAGCACTTGGACCATCCTCTGCTGCTTTTCCTGGGCCATCAGCCTGGGGAGTTAGATGGGACGCAGAGCAGCCAGGACTCAGCCCCACACAGGCTCCCCGCCACGCCAGCCCCACAGACGTTCTTTTTCCTTGGTCTTCACTGCAGCCAAGAAGGTGGCGAATGACAGTGCATGCCTTACACAGGCCACCGTGCTTATTGGCCAAGCCAGGTGGTAGAGCCGCAGTGTGTGACTGGGTTCTAGAACCTACTCACCAACTGTGCTACAGCGGGTTCTAAACAGGCTTGTCTGATCTCTCCCTGGGGACTGAAACAAAGGAAATCTTTTTTGTCTACCTCAACATTTTCTTGCTTTCTGCCCAAGAGCTTTTACTGGTTTCTTGACATTGTTTTCTTCCAGGAAATCCACATTCAGAATTCAGATGGTGCAGCGCTTCCTGCTGCAGCGTCAGGCAGAAGGTGGGGGGCCGAGGGAGCGGGGCTGGTCCCAGAGCCTCTGCTTTGGAAACTGAGTTGTAACTTGCCTTTCCCCCTCAACAACGCAGTGTTGACAAGATCAGCTTGTTTTACTCTCTGCCTCTGCTTGCGGCACGGTGCGCACTGGGCTGGGAGTGGGACCCTGCCATGAAGGCGTGACCAGGGTCTGCAGGAGCGTTTCCTGAGGCACGCCCAGCATCAGCTCCTTGGGACTTCCAGCTTTTGCATGGCCCACGCCCCATCCTGTCCAAGGGAGAATGGTATTGAAAGCGCTTGGAAATATCAGCCATTCTTGGGGGCCTGCCGTGGCCGGTGAGTAATGAAGTGGCAGAGGAAGCCGAGGAAAGAGCTCCTTAATATAGACCGGCACCCCGACTCACCCCAGGGCGGGACCTGCCTTTCCTCTAGTTTCCTCCCAGGACTGAGGAGCGCTGGCAAGGCCGCAGGCAGAGGCCGCTGGCAGGAGAGTTCCTTCGCTTCGCCCACTGATGGGGAATGTCTGAGAGATGAACGCCCTCGCAGCCCAGGGACTGTGTGCTCCCCCACAACTCAGCAGGGACTCCGGGGCTGCCGAGGGGCCTCTGCTGCTTTGGCTGTAGGATGGGCAATGCCATTGAAAAACAGAAGCCCCGGAAACGAAGTCCTCTGTGCCCCTGGAGACCAGGTAAGGGCGCCCTGGGCCTGGCTTCCCTGGAGAGCTGAGGGAGAGCCCGTGGCCGGGAGCCGCTGGCCCGGCTGAAGCCCCTTCCCCTGCCCCACCGCGCCCTAGGCCATGCTCCTGAGAAACCAGGGGACTGTCCGGTGGCTCTGCCGGTCTGGGAGCTCAGGACAGCTCGGGGGGATTTACTCAGCAGAGCCTGCCTGTCGGCTGAGATGTTTTTGAGTTTTTAAGAAACAGACCGAGTCTTGTGATACATTTGATTGGCTGAATGTTATTGATAGCTTTAAATACATAGGCCCTTTCTTCTAGAGTTTAGACGACCTTCCACAACAGAAGCTCCTGTCCATCCTAGGCTGCCTCAGTTCAGGGCCGCAGCTGCTACTGTCAGCCCCCTGGTCTCTGCGGGCTGCTCTCAGTGGCAGTGTGGGGGAGGAAGAAGCCGGTGGCACTGCCGGAGGAGCCCGGCTGGGGCCCGAGGACCTAGCAGCAGTACCCTGGGCAGTCCGAACCTTGGCAGCAGGCTCCAGAGGCGGCCCGTCTGATGCAGGGCTCCACCTGACCCATACCAGCGGGTGGCCGCCGTGTGTGTGAGGGTGTGAGTGTGAGGAGGCACTGATGGGACCGGTGGCTGTCTTGAGGGTCTGGCTGTAGAGTTTGTTTTCTTTATAACAGGATGAGTAAGGGAGATGTCCCTTGACCTCGTCGTGTTCCAGCCCTTCTGACTTTCCTGTCTGTTCCCGCACGGGTCACTTGGTCAAAGGCTCTCCTTCGTGGTCAAAGCAGCTATCCAAGTCGTTATTGGGAACAATCAGGAAATGTGACCATGAACCCTTGGTCAGCTGTAGTGGGAGCGTATCTGTGAGGAGAATGGCATTTGTGCAGCGAGTGCTGCTGTCTGTACTTTACTCAAGTGGTACAGCGCAGTGATCAAACTGAAGGGACCCACAGGTAAACAAAATAGGATTTAGTTTAACAAGTGTTAAAATTCAAGTAATATGGAAAGAAATGTTAGCAGCTCGGTGTCACCTGCCACGGTGGGACAGTCCCGATTCCCTCAGGACGGAGCTGTCCCCTCTGAGTGCCCTGCCCCATGGCTGCTTCCTATGGGCACCTGGCAGAAGAGCATCCTTCGTCTAAGGCTGCTTGTGTCATGGTCACTTAATGCCTCGCTTTTAGATTATCTGGGCCTCCTTAGAAAAATGTCAGACTTGTTAAAATTTTCATGGCGGGCAGCTGGGTATACAAACAAGATTGAAGAAAGACTTGACGCGGTGTTGTGTCGGTGTGTGCAGTCATTGAGTCAGGACAGGTCGGGGGAGGCCAGAGTGTCCCTCTACGCGTCGGGGAAAGCTCAGCTGTCCAGTCTGCCTGTGCGCCTCGGCCCCAGCAGGGACCAAAAGCCCCCATTGCCACAATAACCACAGTAACAAGGGCGGGAGCCGTTCCTCTGCTGCTTTTGTCTTTGTGTGTTGCATGTTGGAAGTCAGGACTCCCAGGCTCCACCCTGGCCCTGAGCTCATGTGTTCCCCACCGCCCGCATGCAGACCAGTTGTACAATCCTGGCGGTGGAGCGCTGGCTCCAGGCAGGGCAAGCAGGTGAGTGGGGTCAGCTCTGGTGGCTGTCACCCTCCTGGAGAAGAGGGAAGGTCAAGCCCAGAATCCATTCTTGCAGGTGACTTTGAAGGAAACCACAATCCACACTTTAGGTCATTGTTGAGGGGGGCAAGAGCCCACCTGCCTGCTGTCCCCTGGAGGACGTGTCTGCTGTCCCCTGGAGGACGTGTCTGCTGTCCCCTGGAGGACGTGCCTGCTGTCCCCTGGAGGACGTGTCTGCTGTCCCCAGGGACTACGTGCCTGCTGTCCCCTGGAGGACGTGTCTGCTGTCCCCAGGGACTACGTGCCTGCTGACCCCTGGAGGACGTGTCTGCTGTCCCCAGGGACTACGTGCCTGCTGACCCCTGGAGGACGTGCGGGCTGTCCCCTGGAGGACGTGCCTGCTGTCCCCTGGAGGACATGCCTGCTGTCGGAGCAGCTTCCTGACTGTCAGTTGTGAGGAGGCCACCTCACACTGGTACTGCCCCGGCTGGTAGCGTCTGTAGGAAGAAATTGCCTTCAGGACCTGGAACACAAGACAGTGTTTTTGTTGTTGTTTTCAGTACTGGGTGCTTTCTGTGGTTGACAAATCTGAGTCATGTGTGACAGAGCCCCCCACCAGTGGGAAGTAGGACGAGGCAGCGTCTGCCAGCATGAGCCTGCTGCAGCAGGGTTCTGTCTCAGGCTTGCGCCGTGACTTTGTGGTGTTAGCTGCTCACCGCCCTTACCTACAGTGGCCCTCTGCAAATGACTGCATCTTGGGTTGGTTCTTCCCTTCAAATCCTGGGGAAGTTTTGAAAGTTTATCTCTGTGCTCCCTGGTTTGTAAACCACCTCGGTGCTGATGGCAAGACTTGTCGTTTTGTCCTGAACATCGGTGAGGGAGGCATTGGTGCCCTCTGAGTGCCCCGTGGCTCACAGCGTGCTGTCAGCCATGCATGCAGGCAGGTGCAGGCAGGGCAGAGCCTGGTGGAGCCTGGCGCTTGGCGGGTGTGCATTTGAACAGTGGTACTAAGCCCGGTGGTGCTACGGGTGGGCGAGACTGGGAAACGTATTTCCTAGCTTTTTTTTTTTTTTAAGATTTATTTATTTTCAGGGCCCGGCGCGGTGGCGCAAGTGGTTAAAGGTCCTCGCCTTGCACGCCCGGGATCCCATATGGGCGCCGGTTCTAATCCCGGCAGCCCCGCTTCCCTTCCAGCTCCCTGCCTGTGGCCTGGGAAAGCAGTCGAGGACAGCCCAAAGCTTTGGGAACCTGCACCCGTGTGGGAGACCCGGAGGAGGCTCCTGGCTTCGGATCGGCATGGTATCGGCCCGTTGCGCTCACTTGGGGAGTGAATCATCGGACGGAAGATCTTCCTCTCTGTCTCTCCTCTCTGTATATCTGCCTTTCCAATGAAAAAATAATAAAAATAAATCTTTAAAAAAAAAAAAAGATTTATTTATTTTCATTACAAAGTCAGATATACAGAGAGGAGGAGAGACAGAGAGGAAGATCTTCCATCCAATGATTCACTCCCCAAGTGACCGCAACAGCCAGTGCTGTGCCGATCCAAAGCCGGGAACCAGGAACTTCTTCAGGGTCTCCCACACAGGTGCAGGATCCTAAAGCTTTGGGCTGTCCTCAACTGCTTTCCCGGGCCACAGGCAGAGAGCTGGATGGGAAGTGGAGCTGCTGGGATTAGAATCGGCGCCCATATGGGATCCCGGCACGTTCAAGGCGAGGACTTTAGCCACTAGGCCATGCCACTGGGCCCCTCCCTAGCTTTTTTTGTCCAAAAATACAGCTTGAGCAGTGAAAGTAGGTACACGTTTGTCTGTCACACAGCCGTGCTAACTTACAGAGTGGATTTACTGGCTGTTGTGCGCCATGCAGAAGATGGCTTTCAGAAGCCTTCTTCCCCCCACCCCCCCTCGCCGCAGAAAGAATCACTCGCCCAGATGTGTGAGCAGACTTGACATCTGGGGTTAACTGAACTTCTCTGAAATGGACTTCACAATTCTGGCCTCCCAAAAGACAAGCTGGCCGGCTTTTCCTTTTCACAAATAATTTGAGGGACTGATTTCAGTGTTTTTAGTGGCTTCTGAGACTCTAACACGGGAAGCAATCTCCTCGGGCATTAAACATCGCAGTAGTAATTGCAAATTAAATTGTTATCTCCTTCAAAAATCCCAGCAGCTGGAGGCCCTACCAGCCGGGTAAATGGAAACGTTGATAATTTGCATGTTTGTACACAGGAACGGAAGGTCCTCAGCTGAGAGCCCTGCGCGCAGGCCTGCCTGCTGGGGGTGGGCACTGCCGGGGCGGGCACTGCTGGGCAGGGGCTAGGCACTGCCGGGCAGGGACAGGCACTGCCGGGCGGGGGCAGGCACTGCCGGGGCGGGCACTGCTGGGCGGGGCTAGGCAGCCCTGGCCGCCCTGGAGCCCAACATTTGCAGTGCTCCCACAGTGGCTCCTCCCTCCCAGGGGCCACTTTCAAAATCTCTGGATCCCGGCCAGCAGAGATGGTCAGACCTGCCTGTGCAGGCCAGGTGGGAGGAAGCGTGTGGTGCAGCTGGGTACCCGTGTGCCAGGGAGTTCGAATTGCTGCCCCTGTTTCAGGTCATGAATATTGATCCAGGGTGCATGAGGCTAGGTCAATTATTTCACATTTCTAGGCCTGTCCCGGGTCTTCAAATGAGGTCAGCAAGAATGCTTCCATCAGAGGGCTGGTGTGAGAATTAAGAGGTGGTTCTGGTCAAGGGGTTGTTAGCCCTTAGCGCACGGTAGGCATGGAGTGAATGATAGTTCTTGTCGTAGTGTGTGGCCTGGCAAAAAGGGCACGGGCCCCAGGCCTGGCCGGGCACGTGGGGGCTAGGTGAGCTCCTTGACCACCTTGCTTTTCCCATGGGAAGGCTCACACGCCGGCTCCCGTGGGGGTGGGTCGGGGAGCAGCAGCGCCCCGTCCCCAGGCAGGAAAGGTGGGTTCAGGTGGGCTCACAGAAGTTGGACTCGCCGTGAGTGGGTACCGGACCCACCAGGAGAACCCACGGTCCCTCGCTGTGTACCAGCCCTGCAGACCTTCTGTCCTAGTGACAGCATTAGTGGTTGGGAGAAAATCGCGGAGCTCGGCCGCCAGGGTGGAGGCCTGGTGCTGGCGTCTTCCAGCTGGCTGGCCCGGGCAGGCTTCCTGCCTGCTCTGTGAGTAGCACCTGCCTCGGGGTGCGTGAGGAGGAGCCCTTGGCACAGGGGAAGTGCTTCCAACAGTGACTTGGGAGCCAGTGCTGACTGATTCGACCTTTAGGTCAAGAGAAGTTACGTTTTATTTTCATTGGAATAGGCAAAATGAAGAGACGGACATGCACATAGGGAGCTAAAGGAGCGAGGGAGGGACTGGGCGGCAGGCTCCCCCCCAGCGGCCGCACGGCCGCACG